TTAGCCATCTGAATGTCTTCTTCGATGAAGTGCCTGTTCATATCCTGTACCCATTTTTCTATTGGATTATTTACCTTTATCTTGTTGTGTTGTCAGTAACTTGTCAGAAGCCAAAGTGGACATTTTTTAATAACTGTTTATTGATGCAGATTGAGCTAACTTCTGTTGAAAGTCTACAGTGTATCATGTTGTGCTAGATACTTTGACACTATGTTAGAGCCCTTATAGTAACTTGATTCTATAATGAAAGAATATGCTCAGAGAAAGTGAATAGATTCCGCACTAAGGGGCAAAGTCTAAATTTAGGACCAGAGAGCCTGCTGTCTGTTTATGTTTAGGGTCCTTACTGTTATCATTGTGTGGTCATCATTTCAAAAATTTTTTTAGTACCTCCAAAAGATACTGTGTCAGATACTGAAACACAGATGCCGCCCGCAGTGAGTTAACAGTAATTGGAAATAATCTACATATACACTCATACAAATGACACAGTTAACTGAAGTTCCTAAGGATGCATTGTACAGGCAGATGTTAGGAGTGAGGAAAGAAAAGGGGAAGATCATTGAGCCAGGAATGCTTGAAGGAAGAACTGAAGTTAGATTGCTCATTGTAGGTAATTAATTTGGGCAAAAGTGATGAAATTATTGACCGTATTATGGTCATGCATACCTGTACACCTTTAATTCAGTTTTCTTTCTGTAGTTTCCTTAATGTATTCCTTTTTGTGATTTAAACTTACACTCACCTTTCCCAGGAGGATCTCTTAACTACCCACCTCTCTTTAATGTTTTTTCTATATGACCTAAATATATTGTTAAAATTGGGTGGTTTTTATAGTTTACTGGGTCGTTTCATGGGTTGGTTTGTTTTGTTTTTTTACAATTTTTAATCTTCTTGAAATAAATACTGCTTTATTCAGTATTACCTGTAGAAGCTTTATAGTACTAAATGTATATATATGTAATGAAGGAGAGTAAGTCCTTATGGATTTTCTTTTTCTCTAGGAATGTATGGTGAATAAATTCAAAAGAACATGTATCCGTAAACAACAGACAACTAGTCTGACAGAAGCAGGTAAAATAATTGACAAAGACGCTATGGAAGGTGAGTATTTTAACAAACTTCTATAGAAATTGTACCTATATTTTACATTATATTTTACCATGAACTTTTTTCAGTGGATGATACTTCCCAGGATGGTACAATGTATAATTCTGTATAATAACTAATTTATCAGAAACTAATACCTTTACTTCTTGTTTTTAAAATTTTATTTATCTCTACTTTTGCTTTCTTAAGATTTACAGGGGGCACAAAAAAATTATTCCTTTTGTTTTGCTCTGTCTCTGTCATCCCTTTTCATTTTCTTAAGAATTTTTTGCTCAAAGAATAAACGTATTTCTCTGCTTTTCAGTCTTATTTTTTAATTCTTTCTTCCTGTCTTAATCTTGAAGCTCTACTGACACCTGTCCACTATGGCTGACTTTTCTGGTATTTCTAATTCTGGTGGCACTGCTTCCAGCATCACAGCAACCCTCAGGTCCCTCTAGTACAACAACTGACTTCACAATTTCTTAAATTTAAATTCTTACTAAAAAAAGAAAAATAATGATGAAAAGACAAAAACAGTTGTGCTCAAAATGATGAAACACTAGTTCCCCTAAAATATCTCCATTGTCTGTTTCTCTTTAAATAGTCAGGCTTCACATGTATTCTAACTTTGTCTTTACTCATTTATCTTTTATTACTTTAGCCCCAGTAGACAGTTTTAGTTACCATCAATGTAATGAAACTGCTTTGATAGGGATTACCAACACTAACACTACCAACTCAGTATGCTCTTTTGATTATTATCTTTCTTTTGCTGTAGAAGTATTCATTGACAACTACATTTCTCAATCTTTTCACTTTCTTGGTTTCTGATTCTTCTCTCTTGATTTATCTTTATCTTCTTGTCATTTTTTTAATCTTTGAGGTTTTCTTTCCATACTTATCTTCTGAAAACTACTATCTCCTCGTCCTCTCTCAGTACCTCCATCATTTCCTTCTGATGAATTTATCGTTCATGATTTACGCTATTTACTTATATTAATTAATATCTATATATTAATTACTTCTAAATCTCTATCTAGCAGAGATGTCTTTTAAACTCTAATCCTAAATATCCATCTGCCTACAGACACCTCTAGTCATTGCTGGCAGGGTACTTTGCCTGCACCCATCCGCTGGACTGGCAAAGACCATCTCTAGCCAGACAGACTAGCCTAGGCTCTTCTAGAGACCAGCAGAAACTCTCCTGCAGGCTGAGTGGCCTACCTTTACACACCCTAGACCAGAATAGGTACTACCCATGACTTGGTTCACATCTTGGTACCTCGGTCACCTCTCAGATGAGTAGAAACTTTGACCTAATGGGAAACCCCAACTCCAGTTTTCTGCTAGGCTGGCAAATAGACTGTCTCAGACGAGACAGTTTCCTGTTTGCCATTGTTGTTGTTAAGTGCCGTAGAGTCGTAGACGACTCATAACGACCCTATGAATGAAGGTCTTGAACACAAAACTTTCACCTTTCCCCCAAGTTCCTAGAGTTTCCAGAGGCACGATTTTTGGAAGTGGATGCCACCCCTGCGTCTAAGCTTGTTTTATTTGGGAGATCCACAAAACAACAGTCCCAGGGGCCAGAGGCAAGAAGGCCCAAAAGCCTTTTTAAATAGAGGAGGCAAAATCCAATTTGCAAAGCTTTCCCATAACATACGTATTTATTTTATGATATTTGATATGCTTTTTTGTTTAATATTTTGTTCTTATGGGTAGCAGCGCTTTACTGGCCTGATTTGCATGTTGCTGTGGTACTGAAAGCTGTGTGCCATGGCAGGTTCATCCATGGTGGACAGGTTTCATTGAAGCTTCTGGATGAGACAGACTAGGAAGCAAGACTGGTGTTCCATTTCTGAAATAACAGGCCTTTGAAAACCTTATAACAGAAGCATTGTTAAATCTAGTGCGAGAAGATGAGCCCCTCAGGTTGGAAGCTAAAAAAAAAATTGAGAAAAAGCTGGAAACATCAATTAATAATTGGAACATAAAATGTATAAAATACGAAACAAGGACAATTGGAAGTTGCTTAAAGTGAATTAGAATATATAAAGATCAACATCCTAGAAATTAGTGAGCTGAGATGGGCTGATTTTGGCTGTTTTTAATCAGACAGTTGTATAATATATTATTCTGGGGATGACAGTAAAATGGCATTACATTTATCATCAAAAAGAACATTTCAAAATCTCTCCTGAAGTACTATGAGTTGATAGGATGCCACCCATATATATATGTGGAGGTGAAGAAATTGAGGATCTTTACTAGCTTTTGCAGTCTGTTAGTGATCAATTATGCTATCAAGGTGCAGTGATAATAACTGATGACTGGAATGCAAAAATTAGAAACAAATTTGGTATTTGGAAAATACAGACTTGGTGATAGAAATTAGGCTGGAGATGGAAAGATAGAATTATGTAACATGAATGATTTATTCATTTAAAATACCTTTTTACAAAACCCATAAATAATGATTATACACATGAACCTCATTTGATGGAGTACACAGGAAGCACATTGATTATATCTGTGGAAAGAGTCTGGAGAAACTCAATATCAGCTGTCAAAAGAGGGCCAGAACTGACAGAACAGACCATCACATATATACAAGTTTAAATTGAAGGTGAAGAAAATAAAAACAAGTCCACAAGAAACAAAATATGACCTCTTTCAAAATAGGAGTCTCACTTGAATTTAAAAACTCTTAAGACTAGATTTTAAAGCATTGAACACTAATGTTTGATTCTTTAAAGCCCAAATGGATTATGAGATGGCATCAAGGACAGTAGTATCCATAAAGGAAGCAAAAGGTAATTGCAGACATTAGAAAGAAAAAAACAAAAAGGATGCCAAAAGAGATTCTGAAACGTACCCATGAATGTTGAGCCCAAGCCAAAGTAAGAGGAATAAACAGAGCGTAAAAAGAGCAGCTCACAAAGAGAACAAAAGTATTATAGATACATGTGCAAAGGCCTGGAGTTAGAAAACTTAAGGAAAGAACATGCTTGGCATTTCTCAAGCTAACAGAACTGAAAAACAAATTCAGGCTTTCATTGGATTAGGACAAAATCTAGAATGATATAGGAACCATCAAAAGATAGAAAAGTCACTGTACTAAAAAGGATTGATTGACACTTAAGTATTTCAGAATAGTAGATACAAAAAAGAACCTGTGGTAACAGAAGGAAGAAATTCTTCATTGAAGCTACTAGCAAAAGAAGGTTCATGGAATAGATTGAATACCAGTTGACATTTCTACCTTTCATTTAAAGGACTTTGCATTTTCTTTCTAGGATAATATTGGTTTATTATTTTATTTTGGAAGTGGCATCCAATTCCAAACAACATGCAGATGCAGCCCTGGATGTGCCCACAAATTTGTGTCAAGAAAATGGAAGATAGCTATCTGGCAAACTGATTGGAAGAGATCTGTATTTGTTCTCATTTCAGAAAAAAGATCCAACAGAGTGGAAATTATCAAACAGTATTCTTAATATCGCACACAAGTAAAATCTTGCTGAAGAATGTTTTGTGGGTTTTTAAAAAAATTATTATTTTTGTGTATGTACCATCAACTCAGATCTGACTGGTACAGGAGGAGATTGTCCCTCCTTCTCCAGCAGAGCATCTGGTGGATTTGAGCCATTTGCTGAAGAATATTTAAGAAATGGTGAACAACAACAGGGAACTGTCAGAAAACCAAACTAGATAAAAAGAGTACATGGCATAAGAATAATCATTGCTGATGTAAGATGTTTCTTGACCGAAAGCAAAGAATGCTGGAAAGATGTTTATGTCTATTGAATTTGTAGGAGCATTTGACTGTGTGGATCATAACAAATTAAGGCTAATATTGAGAAGAATAGGAATCTCAGAACACTTAATTGTGTTAATGAAAAAACGTATATATTGACCAAGAAGCTTTTTTTGAACAGAACAAGGAAGATGGTTTAAAATAAAGAAAGGTATACATTAGGGCTGTATTCTTTTTTTTAAAAAAAAAAATTTTTTTTTATTCCTGATTTTAGTGAAAATTTACAGAGACTTTGGATTTTCATTCCTTTATTGTTGCACTTTTCTCCCTGCCCTCTGCTCCTCCCCCAGTACACTCTTCTATTTGAAAAGTAAAAGAAAAATTCTTTCATTGTTTTACAATCCCTCCTCCCAGGTCCACTCCACTATGCAGCCTTCGTTCTAGACTCCTGTCATGACAATAATACTTAATCACATAACCCTTTTAAGCAGTTTTCTCCCTCATCTGTTTCAATGCAGTATACATTATTTATCCCATCTTCTTCAGTCTCCCCCAAACTCTGGTGTCAGTCCTTTTTTACAACAATGACACTATGCAGTCGTTGTGTGACTGAGATACTCAGCACAATGTCCTCCAGGGTCACCCATTTTGAATAATATTGCATGAGTTCTTTGTTTTTCAGTGCAGCTTAGTATTCCATTGTGTAAATATACCACAGTTTCTCTAGCCATTCGTTTGTTGATGGGCACTTAGGTTGTTTCCAACTCCTTGCTATTGTGAACAAAGCCTCAATGAACATGGGTGGGCATCTATCTGCTTTAGTCCAGTTATGGTCTCTCTGGGTAATTTTCCCAATAGTGGAATTGCTGGGTCAGATTGGTATCTCTATTTGCAACTTTTTGAGAAAGTGCCATACCGCCTTCCATAGTGGTTGCACAATTTTATACTGCCACCAACAGTGAATAAGGGTTCCAGTTTCTCCACAAACTTGCCAGCATTTGTTGCTTGCTGTTCTGTTAAATTTTGCTATTCTGTCTGGGGTGAGATGATATCTCATCGTTGTTTTGAGGGCTGTGTTCTTTATTCATACCTATTCAGTCTGTATGCTAAAGAAATAATTTGAGCAGTTGGGGAATATACAAAGAGAAATGTGGCATCGGGATTATAGGAAGTCGCCTCAACAACCCACGTTATGCAGATGACAGATCCTTGCTTGCTGAAACTACTTACTGCAGAAGATCAAAGAAGACAGTCTTCCCTATGGGTAACATCTCAGTATCAAGAGAACAAAATTTCCTTACTGCTGGACCAGGATGCATCATCATGATAGATGATAAAAAGATTGAAGTTATCAGTGATTTCATTTTACTTGGATCTACAATCAATATCCTTGTTATCAACAGTAAAGAAATCAAAAGACGTAACATTGGGAAAATCTGTTCTCAAGGATCTCTCAAGTGGTAAAAATCAATCATGTCAGTGTTAAGACTTAAAGTGCACCTGATCCAAACCGTAGTATTTTCAGTTACTTTTTTTTTTTTTTAAATTTTTTTATTATTTTTGTGTGAGTGTACCGTCAAATCAGATCTGACTGGTGCAGGAGGAGATTGTCCCTCCTTTCCCGGCAGAGCATCTGGTGGATTCGAACCGTGCACCTCTAGGATTGTAGTTGCAGCTCCTTGCCACTAGGCCACCAGAGCTCCCCTCAGTTACTTTTTTATGTATCTGGAAATTAGATGGTGGAAAAGGATGATGAAGAATCGAAGCCTTTGAATTATCGTGCTGGCAAAGAGTATTAAATGTTACCTTGACATCACAGGTTATCTGCAATGGTATCATATTCTCTTTTAAAATAGTTAGCAAATTTGTTTAATACGACATTTGTTCATACCCATATCTTGTCTTTTGACACTTGTAGTAGTTTTTTTTAACTTGTTGCCTTATGTCCAGGCTTTGTCCTCTTGTTTTATGTGGTATACTTACAGCTCCAATGACTTGTCCAAAATGTATTACAGTAGTGTAGTGGTAGAGCCCAGATTGGAAGTCAGTTGAAATGAGGAAAATACTGGTACATGGACTGTAGGGTGGAGGGTCAGTGAAGGAAGACTCTAAACCAGGTGGGTTGACACAGTGACTGCTGTAATGGGCTCTAGTGTGTCAGGAAATGTGAGAATGATGCAGGACAAGACTGGGTTCAGATCTTTTGTTCATGGGGTTGCTATTAGTTGTACTTGACTCAGTGGCACCTAACAACAACATCACCACCAAAACGTATTATTTCCTTTCATACCTTTCTCTTTGCCAGCAGTATCTATATTTTCAATAAAACCTCTTCCAAGGTTGTATCCTTTCCCTGTACCTATTCACTCTGTATGCTGAGCAAATTATTCTAGAGATTGGACTCAATGAAGGGGAATGTGTCATTAGGATTGAAAGAAGACTCATCAGTAACCTTCAGTATGTGGATGACACAACTTTGCTTGCTGAAAGTGAGGAGGACTCAAAATATTTCCTGTAGAATTTCAAACACTGCAGCCTTCAATATGGATTACATCTCAATATCAAGACAATAAAAATTCTCACCACTGGACCAGTAGGCAACATCATGATAGATGGAGAAAAGATTGAAACTGTCATTGACTACATCTTACTGGGATCTGCCATCAATACACTTGGCACCAGCAGTCATGAGATCGTGAGACGTGTTGCACTGGGAAATTCTGCAGCCAGGGATCTTTCCAAATTGCTGGGAAACAGTGATAATAGTTTTGAGGACTAAGATGTGCCAGACCATGGTTTTTTTAATCATTTGTATGCATCTGAGAGGTGAACCGTGACTAAGGATGACAGAAAAAAAAATTGGAAAAAAAGATTGGTGAGTTGTGATATTAGAGGAAAGTGCTGAATATCCCATGGGCTGTAAAAACAAGAATAAAAAGCTCTGTCTTGAAGGTGAAGCCAGATTTCTTCTTGGAAGTAAGGATGGTGAAGCTTTGTCTCACATACCTTGGCCATGTTGCCAGGAGAGGCTGTTCGTTGGAGAAAGACATCAAACTTGGATAAGTGAAGGGACAGTGAAGGAAGGGAAGACCCCTTCCATGAATCTTCTAGAAGGATTGACACAGTGACTGCAGCAGTGGGTTGGAGTGTGTCAGAGATTATGAAATTGGCAGATAGGAAGGGTTCAGATCTATTGTCTATAAGGTAACTATGAGTCATACTTGACTCAGTGGCACCTAATAATAAGAAATCTGTTCTTTATAAATCCAAATTCAACATCTTTCCCCCCTTTTAATTTTTGAAGTTTTCATTTTACTATATAATATTCCAACATTTGTTTTCCTTTGTTAATAATTTTGAGGTGCTAGACATGTAAGCTCAAAATGTGATTATATAGTATGATTAGGAAATAATTTAATAATTCCTTATAATTTCTAATCTGTTATCCATATGTTAATCTGTACATAAGATATGAGAAATGTGGTTGAAAAGAAATTGAAATACATTTTGATAGTGGGTTTTTTGGTTTTGGGTTGTTGGTTTTGTTTTTTTTGCAGAAGGTTGTTAAAATTATGGGAATGGTTGTAGTAAAATTGGTCTTTCAAAAATAAGACAATGTGAGGGGTTTGTGCGGGGAGAAGGGTGCAACA